ACTTCGTAAATGAATATACCAACCACAGCAAACAGTTCAGATGGCATCCTAATACAAAGCATCAGAAATTTCTTGTGTAAACCTGAATGTCCATTCATATACGTGTATCTTGACCAGTTAAAGAAACCAACTTTGTCCCTGTACACACGTACAAGGGAAGCAGTATGGAGAAATATCTGAATGACTGACACTCCAGAGCACAAGCGCTAGGGAAAGGTCTCCCCTCCCAAAAAGATTCCATCTGAGAGTTCCACAAGTCATAAAAATATTAGAAAAACATGAAACTGTGCCATTTCCACCCAGGCAGCTTTAAGGTTTTTACATATTCAAATCTTAAATCCTACAACTCAAAGAGACTAGAGTCTCCTAACTAGAAACCTAACACAGAATGGAAAACAAAAGGGACTTGAAAACACTTTTGTTTCTCCATTTCCAATAACTAGTGTTCCAATAAAAAGTACAGCATGTACTTTTTGTTTGGTAACAGTACTTGTGCTTACCTGGTTTACGCAAAACCATGAATAGAAGAGCACATTCTGCTTCCAAACAGTATTAATCAGCTAGAAAGTGATAATCTACCTGAATGAAATCCTGTTATTACCAATTTTCCAACCTATATGCATGAGGAAGATTTAAGTATCCAGGCTGCAGATCCAGTACCATGCAACTCTGGAAGTGGTAAAGACTGCTGGAACACTCCACTAGTAAGAATGAAACAACATAATTTCACCATGAAGAAGAAAGTGATTAATCTTGAGCAGAAATCAGAAGAGTTACTCAGTGTTCCTTTAGTTGGTTGAAGGATTCTGACTCGCACCTGAACAGGAGAAAACAACTTTGGTTCAAGTTTTATGAGAGAATAAAGATGATTGACCTAGAGGCTCACAACAGAAAGAGAATTGTGCCATTCACGTTTTAAATTCTAGGAAATTTCTCTTATTTCTCTTCTCATTTCTACTATGATAAGAAAAATAAGTATGATCAGTCTCACACCACCACATTGTAAGAACCTGAATTTCTCTTTACCCACTTAGTTCACACTGCAATCATGCAGATCTCAACTGAGACGGCCACCTCTGCTTCTCAAAAACATTATCTCATAGTATGCAGCTTGTCCTGACGCAGTTTGATTCCAAATTGCCAGTGGACCTCAAGTTCAGTATTGAGACCTCATTTCCCAGAAGTAACCTGGGAAACATTAAATAACAAACAGAGGCATAATAAAAAGGAACCATGTACCCATCAGTATTTGGCTTCCTGAGGATGCAGACCATGTGAATGTTTCACAGGCAAGGAAAATTCAGTACTGCTTCCTCTTTCCAGTCCACATACACCAAGTCACAATACTCCAAACGAGTTCCTGGGTTTCAGTTCAGGCAACTCACATTTAGCTAGCTGCAAGCTGGTAAAACTTCATAGCAAAAAGCACAATTTGCCCCCAGTCCAGATCAACCACGTCTTCTTCAAGTCCCAAGGTCTGTCCAATGTTGTGCAGGTTTCTAAAATTTTGTGGTAGCAATATTACTAACAAAATGGCACAATCTGCTAAGGGAAATAATGTCTGAAGGGCATGAAACAATTCACCATGACATCTGCATTAAATTAATGGACAAAGAATATTTTTTCTTCTGGTAACAATAAATTTGTTCAGTTGGCAACAAGCTGTCCCACAGGCTGAATTACTTCATTCCTTTGAAAAGGATTCTCAGAGTCTTCCGATGATGTTGAAATCTCAAATTGTGAAAAACCAATTTCTGCTGGAGAGGTCATGTTCTTCTCATTGGTGTGCTTTTAAATGAGAGACAGATTATTCTTCTGCAGGAAGCATACTTTCTAATGTGACTTGCACATCACAGTTCTTCATAATTTTTAAGTATTCAACTGGATTGGATGTGGGCTTTTTGGGGACAGGTTAATATATTTGTTTCAGTGTAATATTACAACTCTACTTTCCCAATTCAATCCTTTCATAAAAGCCACTACTGACATCCTACTCAGGATCTCCATGGTATCTAAATAGCTGTTTGAAGATTAAAAGGCTTCAGAAAACAGTTAAAATTACTTACAAACAGACAGTAACAGCGAAGTATTTTGTTTACCAACAGACAGGCAAGGAACATAGTTAATGGACAAGGCTTGCAAAGATGACTGAAGGACAGTCCAAAAAAATACCAAACCCAACCTGATGGGTGAAAAGTGGAACTTGTACCAACACCAATTCTTCCGTTCTAAAGACTGGGAACTAAAAATGCAAGGTAAGTTGTTTATCTATGCTGATGTAAACATATAGGAAAAAGAAAACGATGACATTTCCAGACAATAATATTCTATGCTGTATTTTCACTCTTTCATATCATAGTCAGACCATCACACTTAAAGAGCAATCCCACAGTAAAATACAAGGTGACTGAAGATGACAACTAAGCTCTATTCACAGAGGCAGCATGTCTTAGGTTACACATTCCCTCACAAAAAGCACGTGTACTTCTACAATGAGACAGGTAGTTTCAAGATTCTTAAAAAAGCAGACGGTCTTGAGAAAAACTGAAGTGCCATAAGAAATTGTATTTCACAGAAAATACTGTTTTAACAGTCAACTGTGCTCAAGAGGCAGCAGCTCCATTCTGCAGCAGCTGATCATTTTTTCAGTGTTGTATTTTTAAATGTGATGCAATGCACAGAAACAGTCTTTAACACAACTGCATGCATGGTCAAAGATGGATCATTATCCAAGGGCAGTGGACGCAAATTTTCCGATTTAGCCATCAGTGAAACTGCATATTCTTTCTGTTCAGTGCTGTGAAAGATTGTACTTCCAATATCAGCCAGCAGATGATTCGCAAGAACTAAATCAGGATCAAAACTTACTGGATTCTGTAGTGAAGGATTTTTCCAGACAAAAGCAAAATCACTAATCACCAACCTCTGACTATGAGCCAAGCATAGGCTTATCTAGCTATTCTCAGTTCTGTCAGCAGCAATGATGATTTTTTCCTTTTTGCTTAGTTTCTTCATTCACCGAAGGACTAGAGTATGTAGAATCTGTTACAGGCTGTAGTTCTGTCGTAAGTTATTTTTTGTGAGCCTCTTCCCATCAAGCACACGAAGACTGACCAACTAAACATTCAAACCAACTGAAACGAATGGCAAAGATTATGGAATGATATTTCTGTACTACAGAAATGGAAAAGTTCTGAACTTTAAGGAACGAGGAGAACAACAAAAAACCCCAATCTGTTCTGTCAGACTGAGCGCAACAGGCTAACAGTCTGCAACAGTATGTTTTCATAACTGAAATTTTACTTTAAACTTGAAGCTTGATAAATTTTCTCTCTGTTCTCAAAGTATAACTTTATGTGTATTCTCCACCCATCTCTAAATACTACATGCACCATAGAATAAACAGTGTGACCCCTATGGGTGTTCTCTGCTAAAGTAATTTTCAAAATTGTTAAACAACAGTAAATAATACAATCAGTTCTGTCACATGCTATCCATTTGCATGCTCCAGAAATATTATTTAGCCTGGAAAGGAAAATGTTAGAAAAAGATCTGGTTCAGGTATATTACCAAAAATACAGACAAAACCATTATCAGTTCTTAAAATTCAACAAACAGCATCAACTTGTAACGATGGCATGCCACAAGAACTCTGGTTTTGTTATGGACAACTGAGGACAGACTGAAACCCATTCTACACGTACCTGAGAGATTAACTTCTCCAAAGCAAAGCTTGCCTGATTTCCCCAGCAACACGCTATACTGATTTCTGGTTAACTATTAGTTTCCCTTTGTCAACAACTCTTGGCCAGAATTCAGAGTACTTAGCAACATTTAAAAAAGAACTTATATATGCTACATAAAAGTATGCATACACAGAAAATGCATATTTATTACATTCCGTTTTGAAAACTCTGCATTCAGGGAGCTTGATTTTCTTGTATTAAACGCATTCAGGGCAAAACACAAGTTCAACTGTTCCCCTCATTTACCAGAGAGCTTTCAATCATGCACCACAAACAACACTGAGAAACATCCAATAAACCAAAACACCAGAATGCAAACAAAACCCTCTGTTAGCACCACAGTTTTCCCTTAACGAACTACCACCACATCAGAACTAGTTGATTTACCAACCTAGATGCAAACCACAATGTAATAATTCATCAGAGCAACAAAGTATAGCAGAGAAGGAAATTCAGGACTTCATTTTCTTCACTCAGAAGGGTCAGGAGAAAAAAAATTCATTTCACCAGTAAAACACAAATTATTTTTGGATTTAAACACCTTGCCCGGTTACAACACTGTTAACACAAGGCATTTTCTTCAAAACCTGGGAGGACAAAATGAGGTTTTCATCAGCAAACCTGATGCTGTGATATACCAGCATCTATGAAGAATTTGTACCATTTTTAATAGTGTGGACTGCTACTCATTTATCTTTTTTTATCAAGCTAAACACTTTTATTAAAGGAATAGAAAGGCATAGCTTCTTTTAATAACATTTCTCTATGAGACAGTAGACTTTCAAATGGAATGAAATACCCTGATGGGGATCAGTGTTGACTAAAAGACAAAGTAACACTAAAATGAATTTTCTAGGCTGCCCCCCAGAGTACTCCATAGTACCTGCTTGCAAGTTCAGCATTAAATAAGCGTTTTTCATACATTACTACCTTGAGTATTTCAGAGCCATTCAACAGAATTTATACTCATGTAGTAATGGAAATTTGACATAATTGAGAAACTAGGATCCAAAAAATAACACTCATTCCAAAAAAGAATGAGAACGGCATGACTCCTAAAGGCCAGCAAAACCTGGGGCCTTAATGAATCTGTCTATGAGAAGAGCAGGTGATAAACCTAGAAGACAAGACACATTCCAGAATACAAGCACAGCACCTCTTCCAGGTAATGACGGTTCTGAGCACTGTCAACATGTGAACACAGACCATATTTAAAATGACAAACAAAAACCATGCTATATGGTCCACCAAGAACAGAGTTTATAATGAAATTTATTGTTCTGCTTCCTAATACAATAAGCTACAAGGTACATACAGTATAAAACGAGAACGGCCACAAAGCAAAGGTGATAAACATTCTGTGACAGTACAGTGGAGGTAACATCTGTCTAATCCTTCCACTTTATCCCACAAACAGCAGCTAAAACTACTGGCCCTCCCCTTCCCTCCCCTCCAAAAACATTAAAAAGTAAACTGTTTCTCTCACTTAGGAGCAACGGGATTTGTTGTTTTTTTGGGGGGCACCGGTTATCTGCCAAGATCTCAAGAAAATTGTTTAAACTAAAGTAACAAACAAAAAACTGTGAAGGTGGGAGTGACATGACCCATGCAAGATGCTCATGACACCTTGGTTCACTTCTCCTCAGAGCAAATGGCCTGTAAAGAAAGGAAAAGTTTGTTACACCAAGTATAACAGCAATTAACATGGTCACAGTTAAGATACAGTAAGCAAAATCTGAACTAGACAGGACTAGGCAGAGGGCTAAACTACTCTTTTAACAAAAAGATAATCTTCCTGTTAATAAGGTTTGGAGATTGACAGCTGATAATCCTTCTCCTTTTATTTTTAGATGTTGTACAGGAGGGTACACATTGACATGGGCACAGCTGACCCCTATTATACAAGGGTCCAAATCAAATAATCTTGTCTGGGAGAACTCTAACGATGACACGAACTGCAACCTCAACTCTTAAAAAAAACCTAAAAACCATCAAGGCTAGAAACATGCAGGAAAACTGAATACTTACCTTAAAGGCACAAAATTCCATTTAACCCCTTTTTTCATATATACTTGGTGCGGTTGAGGGCTCTCTCAGCAAGATGACCACTTTCATCTGTTATCTTCTCCCAATCTGTTTGTCCAACAACGAAACCAATGGCCCTTTTCCTGTCTGCATCTTTTTTTTCTTCTAGATCTGCCCACCGCACCTACAGAGAACACGATATCAGTAGGACAATCTCTTAAGAAACCCTGAGACAAGTCCAGCCTTTCCACTACAGACAAAAGAATTCAAATTTTTACTCATTTTCCTTTGAGCAGGTAAGTATCAATTTGTTTTCTGATGGGTAAAGATGGAAACTACAGCAGTTACGTTATTTTAATTGAATATCCCAGGTGTTCCATGGAGTAGAAGACAGGTACAGATGATTAGCCTTTTACATTTCAATGCTATAATTCTGAGACCTGGAGCGTAATTGCTAGAATTATTTCTCTGTTCAAAGCAATGCTTTTTGCAGGAAGAATTACCAACGATTCATGTAGTGTCTTCATTTTCTGTACAACATGTCTTTCAATTGCACAATGGAAACATCTAGAAGATGACTATGAAACTACCGAAAGACAGTGGTAAAGAGCAACTCAGCAATGAATGAGGGACAGTTTTCTTCTCTGTCTTCTGTGATACATTTCTATTTAAATCTTTCCACTGTTTCTTTACACTAAATAACTTCTTCATGCATGTGTTATCTCCCATCTTTAGAGCTGTAGCCATCTCCTCTGTGGCTCTTCACGGTCACACAGACCATTGGACTCATCCTGTTCAAATATACAGAGTCACTCCCTCGCTCACAAACCCAGACACCAATGTGAAGGAGTGAGGGAGGTGATGATGAAGAGCTACAGTCCAGAAACTCTGCTGGAACACACCACCGCAAGACAAGAGAAGACAATGTCAAGGAGCATTTCCTTGACATCGTAACTGATTAGTCCCATTCAGGCTGATTTGTTACTTGGGGATTTAGCCTTATCACCTTTCTGCCAGAATCTCCCTATTCCACATTCCCTAGACATAAATGGCTTCTTTCTTCCACCATCACTTCCTCTGCCAATGTCTTAGTATCTCCGTTTCTCTCACACACGCAGTCCAGTACTACACATGTTTTCTATTTGACATTACAGAATAAAACCAAGCCCACACACTGACACTTAAATTACTTTTAGTGGTAAAAGCTGGTCTTTCTATTTTGGAGACAAAAAAAAAACCCCAAACACAACAAACACATTATTACCTCTTCCTATTACCTGTCTTTCATCTTCCTCTATGATTTTTTTGGCCCTTTTTTCACAATGGTATTTGAAGACGTAGCATTTTGTGCTCAGAACACAATTACTCGTAAAGTGGCTGAAGCCAACTTATACACCACCTCCCAAGCTTTATGCAAGGTATATCCAGGAGGTAACATCTAAAAGACTTAATTGATATAAAACTTTCACAGCTGATATTTTCCTCAGATGAATCTTTTTGAACATAAGAACACTGTACTGTTTCTCTCCCTACTTATTACAAAACCTACACAAAATAGCTTAATAAAATTATCATCTTGTCTTGGAATCTCCACTGTATATCATACTATCTCATCACAAAACATACAGCATAAGAAAAGGACTCTATGGGTTGCTCTGAAACAAAGTACATTATATCCCCCATCAAGCAATGGGACACGATTCCATTCTCAATCTGAAAAGCCATGTCATGCATAGTTAATCTTCATTATCTACAATTCCTCACTTTGTTATAATTAATCTGTTTACCTCTGGAAGACCCTACTCTCAAGAATATCCTCTTACAGAATCTATAGGAACATCAAAATAAAAAGTGAGCCAGCGAAATTGTCATACTCAAAGACGCTCAATGACTTGATACAAACTCTTTTTTTCCACAGAGACCATTCAGTGATTATATACAGACAGTAAGTCATTTGAAAATTTATTACCCTTTTCTTTCCAGGTTCAGAAGCCCGTGTATCATAGTCATCTGGAAGCTGCAGATAATCTTCCATTCTGCTGGCAATTGCTTCCCAGTCACGTTTCCTTTTAGCGCCAGTCCGCAAACCATCCAGCTTGTCTGAGAACAAACACAGAGCCTCAGAGTTAAAGGAGATTTTTTTTTTTAATTATTACTCACACAAACAAGATGAGAGTGGAAAAGTTTTTAAAAGAATGACCAGCAGAATTTGTACATCCAGCTTGTCTTGACAGGTGAAATGATGAGAGTTGAAATAAACTAGAGAAGACTCAACACCATTTTCAAGTTTTATTGATCTTTCACATTAACTGTGTGGCAATAACACTCAGTCTTGTTATTTGTATGAGGGAGAAAAGCTTGCTCTTCTGGATGTTCATACTATAACGGAGTCTGTCCTTTCAGGTACAATATAGCCACCAATAGCTACGAACCACAGATCCACCTTTCTGTATTTGAACACAATACTAAAGCTGTAGCATTTTTCCCAAATTTGGGGTTTAATACTGTGTCAAACATGGCATACATGCAGTACCAGAGAACAAGTGACGATCATACAATTTAGTGCATCAAAGACAAGTTTTTGAAATACTATTTCTGCTACACAAAAAGCTCCTTGGAAATCCTGATTCCTCCCTCTTTCTTTTTCTCTCCCCACAAGGAAAACATCCTCAAAAACTCCTCCAGGACTGGAAAAAATATCTCAGAATCTTTTGTTTCATGGTGTAAGAGATCAGTCATGAATATTTGAGCAGTACATTTGTCCAACAGTCATCATTTTCTTCTTTCTCTTATTGAAACAATAAGGCATGAGGAGAAACAATTCCACTCCTAGGTTCTAAAATTTAGTTCCTCTTTGGACACTCATTTTCAGCGAAAAAACACCACCTTCTTAAAATTATGTGGCAAACTGCTTTTGGAAAGGAGATGAAGTATTCATTATAAAATTATGAACAACGACGCATTAAAATGAAAAGCGGCTTTACAAGTCTAAGGAAATCCTAGTACTTCTGTTGATGTAGGCTACCATTTTATAAGCCAACAATTCAAGCATATGCAGAAGGAATACTAAGCTCGGCAGTTATATTCTGTAAACCATTTCCAGTTATGCCAGTAACATTGTTTCAGAAGTCACCTATGTAATTAAATTCACCCTCAAAATGCCTCAGAAACAGACCAAATACAAGGCAGCATAATTCTGGATAGCAGAAGATGATGTTCAAAAGTATGTATTTAAAGAATCTCAGTTCAGAGATGACGTTTTTTTACTTAATATGGGAGAGAAAAGAGCAACAACAGAGATAATGTGATGTAGACATGCTAGTATAATTTAAATGCCATAAACTAACGAAGTAATTTCTCCCTCATACAACTCTAAAATTTTTCAAGACTCCACGTTTTCCCCATTTCCCTGTAAGAGATACAGAATTTCTTCTAAGAAAACATTTTAATCCCCCTCTGCCTTTTAAAAAAGCCAACATTTAAGAAAACTGTGCAGAATATTTGTATCTGTTACACAATTCACTTAAGGGTCTTCTTTTGCTTTAAGTTAAATCTCCCAAATTTGAAGCTCAATCTCCACAGAAAGACGGCACTCCCTCTAGAAGACAAAATTGATTTATACAATATTCCTCTGTTACTCCAGCACATAATGTATTGGCACTCTTCCTCAGTGTTCCCCTCAGATCAATCACCGTAGATCATTCACAGCATAAGGGTTTCCAGAAAAAAATGACATTGAAAAGGAGAGTAATAAATGCACTGAAGAACATTTAGGAACACAAAGAACTGAAAATTCAGGAGCTCTCTGTTGGCAAGTATCTGTATATAGATATATTCCTGTTGGAAGGCAATACGCTATGATGCAAGCTCAACTCATTACCAGTGTGGAAGAAAGAGTTCAGTCTCACACTGCCTGCTGCACACAGACCAACTGAAAACATCACCAAGAAATGTGTAACTCTCAAACAGAGGAGCTCAGGAGGCGTTCAGAGTATGAGGTTCCCATCTGTCCCTTTTTGTTACTGCTACACAGAATTTATATTAAAATGTTATCTCTTTCCATGTCTGAAGTTGGATTGCCTTTCCAGAGGGATCTGCTTCCATCCAGACTATCGTGGTTCAAGGTACATGTGCCATGTAGCAGACACTACAGAAACATCAAGAACCTACCACAAAGCACTATTTCAGAATATTCCTTTCTGTAAATGAGACCAGGTGTCATTTTGTAACAATGGTGCTCGTGAATGTTTATGGCAGATGATTATTTAGTGTTAAACTATCATACATCATTTTACCATTTCAATTTTTAAAACAATGAAGCAGCATCATCTCTGAAAACCCACAGAACTTAAAAACTCACCTTTAGAATTTTAATAATAAAGCATCTGAAAGTAGCTGACTTAATTAGCTTCTTCAAACACAACTGGCTAAATTTTTGTGCTTCTTATACAAAAGCCACAAAGTTTTATGTAAAATGTTATTTGCATTCCAGAGCAATTTTTAGAACGGTACCAAAACTTCAGTTATGCCAGAGCTCATTTCTCCTTTTCTGAAAGTCTGGAGAACTTACCACTAAGCTGCACTTTGAAACAGAGTATTGTGCTAAACACTTTGAATATAGTAAAATTTTAAAATTCTGAGTCCATTTCTGCAAATCTAAATACAAGAACCCATGTGCACCATGCACGGAGACAGACCAGTAGTTAGACATTAGAATAAAAATGTGGCTGTGCACTCACAACATATAAGGAAATTATATACCACACACATACTCAGAGGAATGCATCACCCCTGCCAAAGTAAATCCAAACTACAGCAAGAGCACCGGGGACACTTGTGAGTGTCACAAGTCAGCGTTGCAGCTAAAAGAACTCAAACTTTTCAGATCTTTTCTGAGGCTTATTAAAATCAGTAAGATCTTATTATGCTCTCCTGTAACAACATCTACTCAGAAAGAAAACAAAAAAGCAAAACAAGACTTACAGTGTTGGTTTTGGATTTGCATTTATATGGCTTCGGCAAACATGTGCCCTCTGAGACTAGCACAATAAACCTAATGGGCAGACCAGCTCCCAGGAAATAACTCAAGTTTGGAATAACAAATGCATACCACAGTTTACATGCCCTTCAGGAAACACTTTTAATTGGTCATCTACAACAAAATCTTATTATGAATTAAATATAATAATTGTTACCCACAGACTGCAAGTGCTTATAATGCATACCTTGAGCTAAAAGTTGTCTGCCCTTGCAGAAGAAATTTTCAAAGAAACAGCATTTACAACATAAAAACGCCTAAGTTTTTAAAAATGTACGTTCTGTCAGAATTTGCTTTTAATCTATAGTTCTATGTATTCATAAAAATGAATCTAGAGGGTAGTAAGAGAAGTAAAATCATTAATACAGATTTAATAGAAAGACTTTCTCAGCACCTGTGTCTTGCAGCATGCTACCATCCAGTTTGTTAAATGAGTTTGACTGTTAAAGAATTATTGCAACAGCCTTGTACACAACTTATTTTAACATAAAAATGACTCTGCTGCTTGCTCCCCATTTTACATTTAAGTGGAGACCCTATAAAAATCCTGCATTTTATATTATAGAGTTTTTATATGGAAAGAAGCACAACATAGTTGCTTGTTTATATTTGTTAGCAGTATTTGATCATGAGAGGGGTAAATTTTGAAAGATAACTGTAAATTTCTGCTGTAGTCACAGTCTCCACATCGCTAGAAACTATACATAAAACTTACATATTTTTAGAATACACTTTGGACTTCCATATAACACATGGGATGACTTAAGGTTCACTGTATATAGCGCAACACATCTGTTCCTACTAAGTATTTAAAGAAGATTCTATGTTATTTGGAATACAACACAATGTATCAGTGTTCTTCAACAATGCAGTTTTCTAATACTATGATTTCGTACATAATTGGGACAAAAATCATTATAAACTTAAATAATCTTAAGATATTAAAACAATCAACCCTTACAACAAAAATACAGAACAATCCTAAATTAATTCTGTCTTTAACTGCCTAGCTGTTCAATATACCGGAATCATTGAGTATAAGGCTCCTCCAGTGGTATGGCAGGTGACAACAACATCTACTATATTCCACAAATATTTAAATGTCTTAAAAGAGAGCATAGCAGCAGAAGAGATGGTGCAGCTAAGCAGTTAACAGCAAAAGATGAAAGGCTGATTTATGTAAGACAGAACTTGTAATGGTATTTCTATGGTGCAATTGTGATTTTGGTTATTGGAAAGTAATGATACACAGGGCTGTACTACACATGCAGAAGCAAACCTAAAAATGTTAAGACATGCTGCATCCCATTCAGATATTTGTTACTTCTCATAGATGTGACAGAAAATGGTAGTTTTATGCAGACTGCATTGATAAAATCTTCACTTAGAACCATTCCCATTCAGAAAAAAAAAAAAAAATTATAACGACTAGAAACCCCTTTCCACGTGGTGTGTTCATTTCAGCCTGAAAGTTGCTTTTGACTTCGACAGAATCCTAATATTAGCACTTATGTCTAACGCAACCAGCAGCACTAATCCGAACAAAGAGCGCAGCAAAAATAGTGCCTTCGTGCTCTTGGAAAGTCCATTTTGCATCCTGCTACGAAGAATTCTAGTACTCTCCTGGAACTGAAAAGCAAAATGAACTTCTAACTTTTCAATACCTAAGTTGTTGAAAAGATAACACCAGGCCTAATAATTCAGAACCAACTTCAAAACCTGGCACTACTTTGTTCTCACGCATGTCAATTTGTGAGACTGACAAACATCTTCAATATAATTAGCTACATGTCTTCAAGAAAGTAAGAAGTTACTGGCGACATTCAGGCTTGAAAAGAAAGGTATGCAGTATGAACAAGACTGCAGTGCAATGTAAATTGACTCTTTGCTTTTTATAATATGGAAGAGATGAATACAGAATAGAAATACTGCTTTTTTTAAGATTTTAAGACAAAGCACTTTCCTTGAACAGATGGAAGAACAATTAATGAGTATATAAAACAGAGATGGTTAGAAAGTCATAGCTCCCCTGCCTCTGGCAGAAGACAAATTCCTTTTATGTATAGGTGCTTTGGCAGTTTCAGACACATGTATGAGATTAATACATTTATTTGTCTTTGGTAAGGAGGCACAGTAAAAATGAAAATCCAGGTTTTGCAAACATCATCAGATACCAACTATAAGAAACAGGAAAAAACAAATACCCACCTAGCTTTGCCTCAGAAGTGTCCATCTCCCATTTGCTTTTCGGAATGTAACCCTAAATCATACACAGAGAGAAGCTCGGAGGATTAGAGAGAGACACACAGGCATATCACTTTTGAACTGGAAACAGCATTATAATGGGAGCTTAAGGTATTTCTTTCTGTAACGCACAATTCTTGTTATCAGAGGAAGGAAACAAATTACTCAGTATTTCAGAACTTCTGCATCCACTTCCCATTCAGTGATTGTAGCAGCCCTTGCAAATCATTACAAGAGTGCTGCCCTCTGCAAACACAGAACTCCGGAATGAGTCTCACAGACAGCAATGGCACTGTGTGCACAGTTACTAGATTATATTATCCCAAGTGGCAAAGTTATTGTAACACAACTTATCAGGCATAAAGAATATTCAAAGCTTGACAAATACAAATGAAAAAGTTACCGTACTTATAGGCTTTTAAGAATATATTCCCAGATTTACTACACACAAGTTTCACTTAATCCTTTTGAAGGGACATACTCAATTTTTGTACGAGTGGTTAGTCCACAACTAAACAATTTTTTTTGTTTGTTTAAATGAGAGTATCTGCTGAATTTAAGTATTATTTTTCATTTCAAAATAACCTTCTTAGTTCAATAACTCTTAACACACTTTTGCCCTATAAACAATGTCACATGTTTTACATGTAATGATCTTTAGCCAGTTTATTCCTTATAAGTGAGCTTAATGAGACTAAATTCAGCAAAGAGATATTTATTTTAGATACCTTCTTGTTATCTTTTCATTTTATACTCTTGGACAAGTAAGTCCTTACTAAGCAACCCCTTATAACTCATTTCAGTTGTTCAGATTTGGTATAAAACTTCTTACGTTTCTCTGCAATCACATAAAAAGCTCAATGTAGTGAAATGGAACCCTTGTCAGAATTTCATTATTTTAAGAATGATTTTTAATAGAGAGGGAAAAGAACTACTCTAGAAGATTTCAACATGAAAACAAACAATCCACAAACCAGTTTTATTACACTAACTTCTCTCCTGCCCTGTTTATAGGTTGCCTCCACTATGGTAAACATATATATGTATTTGTTAATGCTAAAGGTTACTAAATTAGAGTGTATTATTCTGGAGAGCTACACTGCTTTTGATTATGTTCAGCATTGCTCTTCCAAAATCCTTGACAGACCTTTTTTTCTATAAAGCATATGTCAGTGTCTTGAGATTATCAGATCTCTGAATTTTCTTGATTTTAATTGTCTGCAATTAATATAAACTAAGCCAGTTTGTGCTGCAATATTTCTTTGTAACAACAAATAAACTTCATGTATATATGTGTATTTATACTTTTAAACCAAGTTGCACATTAAAATTTGCTCAGAAAGTTTACACCACAGCTAGGAGCCTATATTGAACAAAGTGATGTGTGATACAGTGTGGTGAGAACACTAAGTTAAATGCACAATAATTCATACCATCAAGCACAGAAAAGCAAGAATTGTCTGAATGCTACAAGCAACCCTACGGGAGTTGATAATAGCAACAAAAGAGTGACTTTGATGGTGTGAAATGGCCTACTGTGTGCTGAATCTGTACAATATCCCGGTCCCCAGATAGGAGAGAAAAGATTGAGACTTTATCCTTTGGTACAAGACAGTTGGGTATTTCAAGGATATCTGCCAGATGGCAGGAGCTTCAGATCTCTCTTTTTCCACAGGATTAAGTGCAGCAAAATGAATTGAAGAACCCTTTACCAACTGCTCTCAAAAAGGCAACAGATACCAAATACCGTCCCACCTTTCTGTCTGACATACCTCTCCCTGAGGTTAGCCATGTGACTGAATAGCAGAGATTACATACAGCAGATAATTCTTTGCTATTTTTGATCTCTTGTGAATCTGGACGGAAAACATTCTTTTATGTAAGATTACTTGTACTTATTAATAATTTTCATAGTTTTCACCACAAGCTTTCTCCTCGTCTCATGAAGAAAAGGCCTATTGTTATATGTGCTGTACATTAGGACATTCCCCAGAGCCCATAAACACACATACACAGACACACATTTATGCACAGATGTCTCAAAAGCTAAAGACAACTTTCTCTTCTAGATATAGCTCATTTCCAAGAAATGAGACTAGCAGCCATATTCTTGTAAACATGGATGCATTCTAACCACACTTTATGCAGTCTCATACTCTGTGCCAAAGAATAATTTAGTAGAGAGAATAAGTGAGTCATGGTGCAAAAACCAGATATTTATTAAAATCCATTCTTCCTAAGCTTTATTTTTTTTATTCTATATTTCAGCTGCTTTCTAAACTGCCACTCCTGGCAGAATTTCCATCAAGAAAACAGACTTTGCTCATCTCAGACATTTTTGGTTACTTCCTGTTTATTGGAGTTTAACTACTTGGTTGTGGGAACCAGAGTTTGACACATTCAACTCATCAAGCACTGACCACTTGCAGCTCCAGCACATACCAAGAAGTTACATTTGGAAGCCTTCTGTAGCCTTTCAAATACATACCTAAAACCACCATTTCTCAGGGCAATTCTCTAACCTTCATTTATCCAAGAGACCTAATCCCTCATCTTGGAAATACCTACTGACAAAGTCAGCAAGCCTTGGCAGAGAAAGCATTCTTCTTCATAACTGTTGCCATATGCTGTGACAGTTGAGAAGAGTTCTTTAGGCACGTGAGAGGAAATAAGCTAAATTAATCTTTGCCCATTCTGCCCATCTCTCCAGTTAGTGTAATTCTTAAGACAATTGGGAAAACGGTGCTATAGTATAGTATAGTACAGTGTAGTATACTGCAGTTTATAAATGTCTGGAAGAGGCACATTGCCACGCCCCACCAGTAATGCTGCTTGTGGCATATACTCACAGATTCTTTAAAATATTCAGTTAGGAATAATAGGATTTAACATTAACATTCTCTCAGAAATGTTTAAGGAACAAATAACTACAGATGTGCATATTAAGATCACACTGCTAAGAATGGCAATGGGTTGGCATTTGTAAGACTGAGATTTTCCCTCAGACACATTAACAAACATTTTGTTAGAGATGGCTGATGTGTCTCCTACCAGTTCACTTTCTTCCTCCTCTGCTGTATCCTTCTTGACTTCTTCTTTCTCATCTTCAATATTTGCATCAAAATCCTCCATCTCCACCTGTTCCAAAGCACAAGCACACACTTACGAGACACTGCCTGACTTCTAAGTATTATCTTTATAGCAGAGTAAGAAGAAGATTCCAAGTTCAAATAGAAGAGGAAAGAAGTAATTCATCTTGGAAAGTATGATGATGCAATATATATGAATACTGGCTCCATTTTGGCTTCCCTTAGAGGTAGGTACCCTTCCAGCTACAGAATAACAAACTGCGTGGGAAAGCAGCAATTGTTTATTCTCTTCCTTCACATGCATTCTTTGTGCTACCAGTATCTGTACCAATAAGATACTTCTCTTGCTTTCCACACAATTGCATTTCAAAACTTGGAATCTCAGAAAAAGATCTTGAACTTGCCATTTACACACCACTGGAATAGAACACCTCTATAAAGCCCTTATCTTTTATATTTTTAAATATCACAGTGAAGAATAACAACCACAGAGATTAACATAATAAAGAAAATGGATGCTTTAAGATACATCTAACCCTGCCAATCTAATGGAATACTTTCTGGGGTATAAATCTCTAATGAGGATTCACGTGTATATTGTGGAATATCTGAAACTCCTCAAGTACTTACAGTTCTTCATACCATTAGTAAAACCTTGATGCACACAGAGTAAATCCCAAATCTGCCTTTCTCCGAGTCTACTTGACAGTTTAGCCTTTAGCTGTCCTCTTAAAGATTTCTATTTTCTTATACAAAGAATTTGTAGATTTAAAAATAACCTGTTGACCTCATGACAAACTGCAACTGTTTACTCTCTTCCTACTTCAGCAGTCCACTAGTTTCTACGGTCTTGGCAAGAGCTGTTCTGATAGTGACATGCAGCTATGGCACATTCACAATGACCATATGGCTAACATACTAACTTATTCCCAGAGCTCCTGAAATATCTGTCAAAGAGGAATGCAAGAATACAGAAAGCTGACACACCAGAGGTGCATGTCACAGCAAACTGCAAACGGAATAAAAAGGAAGAATAATTCTACAGCAAGTGTAATCTGCTAGATGTTATTTATTTAGTTCTTCATTCTCTGCTACAGGTCTGTATTTCTCAAAGCAGGGACTGAGAGGAGTTCCAATCTGTTCACTTACTTATTTTATCAAATTACTTCCTCAGATTATGATCCAATTAATCCAGTAACCTGAAAAAGTGCCGAGCTTCATCTGAGAGAGCAAAGATCCTCTTTAATTGGTACTCAACAGTTGCTAAAGAGCAAAGAGGCTTCAACTCTTCCTCAAAGATGCCTAAGTCTGGGCTCCAAAAAGGTGATAAGAAGTAAATGTACCTTCATGTTTGGGTAATTGATAAGAATAATGGAACACACTTCTCTGACACAGAGATTCTGGCTTTCTACAGTGCCAAGTGTAACTGCCATGTTGTGATCATACCTTTCTCTGCTTTGTTTTTTCATTATAATGACATCTATAATTTGTAATTTTAACAAGCACAGAAGTTCTCACCTCCTCTATAGCAGCATCCTGCAATAGAGAACGAATGTCCAGGCGCATCATGTGACGCGGTGCTGCCTCCCAGTGATCAGACATCTAACAAAAAATAAACAAAAATGAAGCACCTCTAAAAATGTAACAGATTCAATGGAAAATTGGGGTTTCTGATCACAAACAAGATGTACTTAAGAAAAGTAATTTCAATCAATCCCATATTGATTATATACATAGATACCAGCTCTTCTTAGAGGAAGAGTATAAGCATTATGCAGTCTAAAAGAGTTCAATAGTTTTCCAACAACAGCTGGCCTGAAAGCACAATGAAATCTATCATTAATCCAATGACTCCAGATGTATACAGTTACCCTGCTGATTTCCTTTAGCTTGCGTCCATGAATATTCCTCTTGGAACATGTCTGGTTATCTGCACTCATTTCAGCTAAGTACACCTAGAAAGAGAAAGACAATATTAAATACTGTAAATCAATTTTTAGAGCTCTTTTTCTACCTGGTGATACACTCTGCAGTTGTACATTCTAAGAAAGGTAAATTTGTAACTGTAGACCACAGCATTTTTTTCTGAATGCATGAGGGACTTTGCATTCAAAAGTTTAGAAATACCAGCATATGGGTGCCAGCAAGTTCAAACGCTTTTTAGGCTCCATTACCTCAAAACCCTTGGTTTTTGCAGCACTCCAAAACTGTTCAAAATGTCGCACTCTATCATTGATAGCATCAAGGATAATGAAGGGGAAGAAGCCATCATCCAAGGTCTTTTTGAAAGTTTTAAACATGCTGGTACGATAGGTCTCTTCCATATCAGCTTCGTATTCATACTCCATCACCTTTATCAAGGAAAAAAACACTTAAGAAAGATGATACCTATTAAATTGCTGATGTTCAACTGCTGACGGTCACGACCACTGGTACGGGAAAAACACCTTCGAGGTCAACTTTTAAGAATGCGCCTGTTCTGCCCTTAAGTTATATGGACTTTTTTGGAAAAACAGCCCACAGACCTCTGCACTCTTCATCAGCCATAGACTGAAATTCTGATTGCCGCTGTGTTGTTCCAGAATATCTTGTTTCTTTGTCAAGATAAGCAACTGAATTAAAAGTACCTTCTTTTTAACTTTTTTCCCTGTATCTGGGTCTCTCTCTTCTTTTTCCACTTCAGTGATAAAATAGTCATCCAGGCTGAGCACTCTTGGTGCAGGCCCTCCACACTCTACTTCCTTATCCTGTGAAGAAAGCAAAAAGAAAACATATACTCTAGCTGTAAAAATTCCATTCTGCTACAGAGGATCTTCAAAACACTTTCGGCAAGCAGTTCCCTGCTCTATATTCAAAGAAGAAGCAGTATCGCTCATGCTTGGTAATAGTGGAGGGGATTCACATGTCATATGAAGACACGGAACATGAAATAACATCAACACGAAATTCCAGGCAAACAGAAAAAAAACAGCAGAGGAAGTGCACATAAAAGACAAGCATCACTACACAGTGAGTGGTTGTTTACATACCCTGATGAGTTTTGCTACATGCGTTTTTCCACTGCCAGGCAACCCTCTCATTATAATAACAATCTGAAACAAAGATCATGTAAGAAAACAGGTTAGTCTACTACATTTAACAGAATCTCTTTTGCAAAAAGATATTTTCTTAACTTTTTCACTTATTTCTCTTCTTCTTATAGAAAATTATGTGTTCTTGGCTCACACTTCTGCATATCATCAAGCAAAGCCAGTACCACGCCTCACTGCTTATTTCGCAAACCTCGTTGTGAGGAATGGTAGTAGTATGAGTATATTATGATAGAATGACAGAATTATGATATATTATGACAGAATAAGAGTATGTTATGTTGATCATCTTACGCTTACACTGCGTAAGATGTTATAGATCTGGTTCAGATAAAATTAACTGAATGAAACTTGTCTAAATGTTTCATAGCCTGAATCTTGTTCTTTATTTTATCTGGTGCCCTGCCAAATCTGAGTCTCTGTAAAGCCAAGGTTTTCCTACGATACATGAAAAAAAAAACAAGTGAAGAGCTCAGAAGAGCCTAAAATACATTAACATTACCCACCAATAGGAATTCCATCTTGGGATTGCCAGGAAGTTGACATTTCCTGTGGACTCCTAATAGTGATGCTACAACACTCTAGGCATTTACAAAGGAACCAAGAGAATTTCCAGAGCTTCCTCAAATGTAGGCCTGTTCCCAACATATTACGCTCATGAGCATTTTATCTGAATACAGACCTTGTAGAAACCAATTGTTGCTTTCAGGATGCCTACTCACCCTCTCTGGCCTGCTATCCCGTCCTGGTGGCTTCAAAATATCATCTACATTTTTAGATTCTGGTTTCCTTTCTACTCGTGGAGCTGGTGGTGGCTGACGAGGCATTGATGGAGCAGAAATAGGAATCCTTTCGTCAGGGTAATTTCTACGATCACCTTCAAATTCCAGTGTTTGGACAGAAGAATTTTCTTAGTTCAGTAAAACAAAAAAAATTAAGATGTTCATAACCAGCTGGGCTGATTTAAACAGATCCTCATTTTTTTTAGGATAAATTTACAGATTTGTCCCTAAAATAATTCAAATTTCTAATCTTGAACCTATTGCAATCAAAGACATTTTTCAGCAGAATATAAAACAATTGCATTCCTGATTTCATCACCACTGAGAAACAAAACTACATGACACAACCCAAATAAATTTTCCCGAATTATATATTCTGAACAAAGAAACACTGCAAATCAATTAATCTTCTCTCAATTACTCGTCACCTGTGTGAGTCCATATTTTTCATAATAATCTAGCATGGCTTCATGATTGAGAAACTGTACCTCCAAACATGGAAGGCCCGTGATCATATGCTGGACGATCTGTCTTTCGTTCATATGGTGGTCTTTCAAAACCACCCCGCCTGGAGGAGGGATGGTCTTTCTTGTCACGGTAAGACTGAGTCCTTGAAGGTGTAGTAGGAAGAACCCTGCCAAAAAAGTATTTTGCATATTTCTAGAATTTCTATTATGGATTAGAGAGAAATGAACATGTACCTCAGAGGCAAAATGGACAGCTGGATACCCCATACAGACCAAGTTGTATTGATTTCAATAGTGTTCTAAAATCACATACCTATCATCTCGGGGATGCCGCTCTTTTTCAAATCTCTCTCGTTCGTAGTCCACAGAACCACGGTCTCTATGCAATTCCCGCTCTCTCTTGAAATCCCTATGATCTGTATTGGAATTCCCTTGACGTTCAAAATAAGGCTCACGATCTCTTTCTCTATTGTAACGACCTGGGTGCTCTGAAAGGAGAAACCCATGGAAATCCAAACTACTAATGCAAACTCTGAATTTTTATTATTTTTGAAGGAAAAACAACAAATAAGAGTGCAAGAAAATATAGATACATATGATGTGAGTGCTAGAATTCACTTAATCAGCCACTGAATCTCTTTTCCAAACTGTAACAGACAACCATACCATGAAATCCTACTTAAAGCTTCAAAAAATAATTTTTAAAGTGGCTAGGTCATTGACTGCATTACTCCTCTTGACAATATAGAATGTTATTCTTATGGGCCTCGGAAGAAAGTAAAGTGGTTCTAGCTTAAACAAGAATTACTCAATTTAAAATGTGCCTTATAACTTTTCTTAAGAGTTAACTAACTGTCTGAGAGCTAGCCAAGGGCTCCCTACCTTTTTGAAATGTTTGCCTCTCTGGTAGAGGTTCCGGACGCAGCGTCACCCGCTCCCCATATGGAATCTGTTCCACTTTACTGGTGGTTATATCTGGTTAAAAATAATTAAAAATTAATTAAGGCCTTAATACACCCCTCTTCCATTCCTTTCCTCTGTCACAAAAAGCAACCAGGCAATGGCTTTAAAAGTGACTGGGATAACTTATGAAAACTTTTAATGGATGATGCAAAAAGAGCTATACATAAATATACAACACCATGGTTTTGAAAGTCTGAAGCTGGTTTGTGGGTTTATGTAAGGATGCGTACTACTTTATCTTAAGAATGGGACTTCAGGTAGCACGCAGGGTCAGAAGATGATTAACATTAGAACACTCTGAAAGTTTCAGTAACTCATAGAACTCTTGTAATGTCAAGAATACTAACTGAAATGTTCACTTTAGATTCCTAACAGTGACAATTTTTCTAATAGCTTTTAGTAAAACATCAATATGGAATGGAATTGATATGGCCTTAATCCATGTTATGGCACCTTAGAGAAAAAATGCTCTTTAAAGACAATGCACAATTTAAAAACTTCTTTATGACATGATTTCACTCCTGTTAAAAACTAAGAATGAAGGAAATGAATTATATTAAAAAACTAGTGATGAACTTTAGCTTTGATAAGCTCAATACCAAAAATCAGAGCCCTTCACTGTTTATGTGCTAAATGCCTTTTTAGGACGCACGCCCTTCAAAAGGAGGACTATCTCCCTCCCTGTCTAGAGGGTACCTCACACCCACTAAGCAGTACATAAATAAAGCAAACACCCGTCACATTCTGCTTTAAGTTACTAAGTCACACCTAAGAACTGTATAATGCAAAGTACTTTCTAGCAGTTATTTCCATACTCAGCTACAAAGGCATTAAGGGAAAATATCAATATCAATCTAAATATAACACATCGATGTGATCACACCAGTTGGTGTTTATTAGAAGCAGACGTGGCTATACACCATTCAGTTCACATGAAACAGCTCATTATCACAGCACTGAAGAAAACACTAAACACAAGGAAAGGATGGAGGTTACAGACTCCTTAAAACTGCATTGCTTAGCGTAAGATCGCAATGTACGCAGCCTACAGGTCAACTGCAGAACATCTACGGCACGCTTTGCATGGCACACCGCTTTAGAAAGAAGCTAGGAGGACTAATTAGCTCTGTTACAGATCAAACAAACACACTTCAACACCCACCTCGCCCGTGGCCATAATCCACAGTTTGCTGAATTACAGGTGCTTTAGGAACAGGTGGAATAACTGGAGGAAGGGACACTGGTACAGCTGATGGAACAGAGGTGTGAATGGTGGGTACTTTCACAGGCGAGGAGACAGGTGGAGGCATCACTGACTCCTGCTTACACAACTCGTACTCCATATTTGCTCCTTTATCATCATTTGTGTCCCAGAGTCCGTGGAAAGAATCTTCATCCCAGCGTTCCTGTTCCACAGCAGAAGGTGATGGTTTTAAAGACTGACCATGACTTGGAGTTGTAGTTGGAGTAGAAACTGGAGCATGTGCCCTTGTCATAGGTGTAGCAGGCCTTGTCAGTGGGGCACTTGGTCTTGTCACAGGGGTGGACTGTCTGAACAACACGGGAGGCTTTATAATAACAGCAGGAGAAGGTTTAATAGCTTGGGTTTCTACTGGCGCCTCTGAAGACAGTTGAGAAGAGACCTAGATGCAGAAAGCACTTTTAATGTAGATCTGTAAACTAACCTTTGCTCACCCTCTAAGTCAGTAAGCACAATGGCAATTGGTAATCAAATCATAAGCACTTTCTAGTACCTCCATCACGGTGCTACAGGTAGGAGGACGATATTTCAAAAACTGGTGGCCTGAACTAATTTGGTGTTCGTTCACTACGTGAAGGCTTAAATACTATTTATTTTCTCCTTCAAAATAACCTTACCAATTTAAGCTGCAGTAGGCCTATCTCAGTTCAAGTGTCTACAGTTTTATTCCCAAAGACTCCTGTCGTCTGCAAAGATTTCTGCTGTCTGTGAGAAGGCGGAAAAAGTCTGAAAGAAGGGCTGCTTGGTGATGCCCAAAAGGATTGATAAGGCCAGCTTCTTTCTGGAAGTCACTGGAAAAATTCCCAGAGAGCAGAATCACCTGGAAACCCCTTAATGAAATCAACATTAGATCAACATCAGAAACAGGGAAGTCTTGCACAGTGAAAAAAACCAACAAAACAAAAAACTCCCTTCATGAACCAAACATCCCCATGGAACCCCATGTGCTGGGTTACAAGAGTCTCTTCAGCATCACAGCAGACGCCAAGTTACAGGCGGCTTTATTAGCAACACGCAACAAAACTTGTAGAATGGTTGTAGATAAAAAGCTGAAGTTCGCAATAACAGTTCGAAGTCACAGCAGAAGTCTGAAGTCTGAAGGCAGGAATCCCAAGAAAGACAACAGTTGTTTGAATACTTCTAGGCAGATGGGTGAAGTAGTCCAAGATACAAAATATCAAAGTTGAGTAAAGTCACTTCCTAAAGGCATCAACATACCTGCAGTTCTTGATAGCAAATCTGTTCCATTATTTTACTTTATAGACACTGTAAACAAGGAAGAGGTCAACTAGGCAAAAGGAAAACTTACACTGCCTCATTCACTGCATAACACTTCTTTGGAGGGAGACACAAACAAAGCTCAGTCTGGCTAAATGTCAGACCCAGAGGTCAGTATGGATAAATTTATTAGCACTGGTAACTTTGGGGTTAAGATGCGAAGAAGAATAAAGACTGCATTGACTCAGGTATCTCCTCCAATATACGTTTAACAAAACTGTTTATTTGTTCTAGAAAGGATTTATAAACCTGAGGTAACAGGACTGCAGAAGTTCAGCTAGTTTCTGACTGGGTATGAATTATCAAAAAAACAAATACAAACAGCTGAGAAGAGTTCCTAGAACCAACTAGGAGACTAAGCAGCAGAGGAATTGTAGGGGAACAAGATGCTGAATTAGGATTTGACTTCCGGAACATGAAGCGTTTTCCCTTAAGAGACCAGGAGAAGAAGGCTTTGCCCTTAAGCAAAATAGAAGAGGAGGTGATGGAGGACCTGACATGGCCGGAAAGAGAACGGACCGGAATGCAAACAAGGGAATGAATTAGCTAGAAAATAGTGTGTTGTTTTTAGTTAGTAGCCAATAAAAAAATTTGTAGATGACATATTCACAGTAGTAAAAGACTATAAAAGTAGTTGTAAAAGAGCAATAAAGTGATTCTTCTTCACCACCTACTGGAGTTCGCTCTTTTATCCCACCTCAAGGAAGAGCTCTGGGAGAGCAACAGGAGATGAAGTCATGGAGGTACTCAAATGTGAGCTTCCATGCACTTCATGATATTCTAGAGGGTAATGAGAATTCCTAATAAAGACAGCAAACAGAAAGCTGATGCCCACTCTGCATTAAAACATCTCATTTTCTGAGAGACCTATACTCAAATTTCTCTAACTCCAAAGAGGAGAGAGCTCTTAAAGTAGGAAAAGCAGAGCAAGATGTCAGAACTTAGGCAAGGAACAAGAGGGTGTTCTCACAAGCCTTCTGCCCCTGTTTTGGAAGAGGTCACCTGTTCCTACAGATCATCCCACAGAAGTCGAGGTTATTGAACCTCATGTGCTACTGTCCCCATTAGGTCATGCTCAGAAAACACGGTGGGCTGACTGAGTAGAAAAAGTTTTGGAAAATCCAAAGAAACTAAGCTGTTTTTCCTCAACAGAAGATTGATGAGGTTGTAAGGGCTGCTGAGGAGGTATTCCACAGAGAAGTTTGAGCATCAGAGTGCAGAACTGATCACACATATGCATTAATAGTAATTGCTACCAGCATGTTAAGTTAACACAAGATGAATTTACCTGAAAGGCACCTGGCCTCGTGCTTGTGTTCTGTGATCTAGGAGGATCCTGTGTGGAAATGTCAGGTTTAAACTCTTTCAACTTCTGTAGCTGTTCTTTTTGTTCTCTGCATATAAATCACAAAAAAGTGTTATCAGTCTGTAGCTTAAACAAAAAAAAAAAAAAAAAAGAAATCAATGCTCACAGTGAAAAAACACTTTACACTAGCATCAGGGGCCAAGTCCAAAGAAGAAAAAGACACAGCAGGCTTTACATGGTCAACGCTATGGTTCAGAAATCTGTTTCACAGTCATCTAACCACACAGGTATTAACAGAATCACAGAATCATTAAGGTTGG